TCCTAGTAGTACGGCCAGGAGCCCCTAGTAGCGTCCTTGCTCCTAGTCGCGATGCCCTTGTTACTAGTAAGTAGTTTCTTGCTATTGTTTTCCAAAGGTTTTGAGATGATCCGCATGCATCCACATACATCCATATCCCTCTCAGTGCTTCGTGATTTCGTGGCTTGTAGGTTGGAGCCCATCGCAAATTTATTCCTTTTTATTATTTGTTCAGGCCATTCAGGTGGGATTGTGGTGCTGTCCCTGAGCGCTTGTTTCAGATTCGTCGCGAAGGATACACCTTGTTGAGCGCCCAACGATGTGCGTCTCAGGATCCAGCAATCAGCAGTGACGCCATGAGCAAGGTGCTGGAGGCCTTGGATGTCAACAATTGAAGATAGGCAAGACATTCCGATTTCTAGAAACGTTTTTCTGGGCTCAGCCAAGATAAAACGCCAAAAAAATGACTTCATGGAATCCTGGAATGTCTTGGCACAACGCCCTGTTCCAAATTCACATTACTTGGCAGAGTTCTTTTTGGACTCAAATCTCCTGGCTAGCTTGAGAAGTGGATACCATTCAAAGAAGCATGAAAGCAAGTGGAAAAAAGAATCGAAGAAACAATTCTTTTGGATTTCTCCCCACATCTTCCAACATTTTCGCCATTCTGTTGGAGGGGCACCAAGCTGCTGTCACCCAGGCCATTCGCGAGTGTGTGGCCTGTCTCATGCCTGCCACGTGCTTTGACCGGCCTGAGGAGGTCTTCGGTCCAAGAGTGTCGTTCCGTCGAAACCGCGGAACGACAGGGTCACGGGTTGAACTGATGTGCCTAATAGGAATGGCCTCCAACCTACTAGCCTCTAGCCTGCAAGTACTGTCTGGCCAAGTTAAACCTGGTCTTGGACCTCATTGAGTGCTGGTGTTGTATGACCGGATCCAGTTAAATGAGGTCCTTGACATAGGGTTTTAAGGATGAGAGAGGTTGAGATGTCTTCCAGACTCCCAAAAACTTCAAGAAAGCCGCTGACGCGCACAGGTGCTAACATACTGACAAACCTAGCGGAGCTGCAGCGCCACTTAATTAAGACAACACACTGTTTAGATGATACTAGGTTGGAGGCCATTGCTATTAGAAACAAAGAAAAAGGGAAAGGAAGAAAGGTCTGATGCAGAGTGCTTTTAGGTTGGATTCTGTCGGGGTGGTTTGCTCATTCAGACCCTTGATTGGTGATAGACGCATCAATCTTCACGGGCATGTTGCATATGTTCCTTATCTTCCAACGAAGCAAACGAAGCAAACACTCTGCGTGAAGCTCGTTCTCAAACGTTCTCCCACTCTGCGCCGCGCCCGGAACGAGGCACGTGAACGGGAGCGTTTGATCCGCAGATTCGGCGCTTTGCTCCCGAAGTGGCTCGTGGCCATGTACCGCGAAGAGGTGAAGCAGGCGTGTTGTTCGAGCTGAGGCTAGCCGAGCCGAACTTCGGGTCGGTTCAGCTGATTTAGACCTAGCCGATCACAGATGAGGTGCCGTTCTGACCAAGAGGAGAACGAAAACAACACGGAGCAGGTTGTGCGGTGCGTTGATGTCGTGTGACGTGCGGTGAATTCGCAGGTGGCGGCACGGAGCTGAGGCGAGATCCTGGGTGTGAGCCTGAAGTCCCTTTGCAGGTGGCACTGCAGACACGAATTTCGAGTTTCCTGGAAACATGCAAAAATTTCTGCGTTTCTGACCAGTCTTGACTTTTTCCTGACAGGGCCTCTTCGTCCCTTGCCGCCCTATTCATTGTGAATGAAAGTGGGCACATGTTTTTTAGCGCTCAAGTGTTGGTGCCAGAAGATTGGAAAATAAGCTAGGCATAGCAAGGCCAGCCATTGTCAAACCTTTGCTACTAGTAGCATCCTTGCCAGCAAATTGTTGAAGATCCTCGCGCTGTGATGTCAAATCTCGCTGGCACCAGAGAGTGAAAACTACACTCTGCTGGGGTTTCTCTGCTGGGGTTGTCGCAGAGAAAAAGTGGCTCATGAAGACTCGCCGGCGTTGCATCACCAAAGCACCCAGGTGGACCACCCGGTGAGTCCTTTTTTTCGAAACAACTCATCATCAATTTGGGGCATGTGCCAGCTCTACATGTCGAACGCTGGAGTGACCCAACTCCCTCGTGTCGCGGACATCTTGGAGATCTTACTCTGCATGAGTCGCTGAATCAAATTGGGTCAGTTGACCTTGTGTGCGCACCACTCACTTGACAGTCCCGACGCCAATCAGCCTTGCTTACTTGATATTATTTGCTTTCTTTAGCAAAATGCCTTCGAGGGCTGGATGTCATGTTATTAGTGACATTGAAGTTCAACCCCCAAACAATGTTTTCCCATATATTCTATGATATTGCAAGCATTTGCAAGCTAAATTGAAAATGTCCTGTGATGTTCTTCAATCATGCAGGAGGAGTAAATTGATTGATCAGCAAGCTCAGCTGCCTTCTTTAGCTTTGTTTGTACAGCTTTCGCTTCATTTGGGCAAGCAGCGTAGCCCCAGTCATGGGTGAAGCAGAAGTTGGGTCTCCCAGAAATTGACAAAAGGGACGGTGGAGCCACTTGATAGCTAGCTTCATAAGCTGCTTTTGTGGGGTTTACACAGTATTTGAAGAGCTGATCGTGCTTTCACGGGCCTGGCAGGAAGTTGCATGTACATTTCAGTGACACCAGCAGTTCTTGCTGTTTGTGCTGATGGCCTCCAACCTAATAGCTTTTTGTTCCTAGTAGTAATGCCAGGAGCTAGTAGTAGCGTCCTTTCTCCTAGTAGCGATGCCCTTTGTTCCTAATAGTTTCTTGTTACTAGTAGCAATGGCTGAGCCGATGCGTGCTTTGAGAGGTCCCCAAACGAACGTGACTTCTCTGAGGCCTTCAGTCAGACTTTTCAGAAATGGAGCGAGCATCACCCAGAGGTGGGCAGGAAAAGTTCAAGCACTTATGAGCACATGCGGTGCACCGAGTTTAGAAAAGTTGGTACTTTTCGTTAGATGTTGGTTGCAGCGTGCACGACCGTTGTTAGCACAGGTGATTTTGGTTGAGTCCGAGGAGACCTCACTCGCATTGCAGATTGAGGAGGCCAGCACAGTCGGTTGATGACTCTTTCGGCGCTCCTGACCCAATCGTGGATTCCAGGAGCCCCTAGTAGCGTTCTTGCTCCTAGTAGTAAGGCCAGGGGCCCCTAGTAGCGTCCTTGCTCCTAGACGCTTTGATTATGTGGCCCTACTGGTAGCTATCCTTGTTCCTACCCCCCCCGCCGCGCGCGCGAAAAGGTCCTGGTAGCTTTTAGTGTCAATTCTGATTAAATTCTAATTATTACTATTTCTTGTTTCTACTAGCTTCTTGCTCCTAGTAGTAAGGCCAGGAGCTACTGGTAGCTAATCTAGTCGGCGACCTAATTTGACACGCTTGGTCTGCTCAATTAGTGTCCCGATGAGGTGGTGATCACATTGATGCGCCTGGATGAAGGAGGCTTTTTCGTGGAAGTTCAGGGAGAAGCAGAGGATGAGGCATGGTATGGTCGGTCACATGTTGATACCAATCAAGGGATCCTTTCTCGGAAGATGAACGCAACGGAGGTCTCTTAGGTTGGAGGTCATCGCTAGGCCATTGCTATTGGAAACAAAGAAAAGGAAGAAAGGTGACGCTCTTAGGAACAAGAAGCTACTAGGGGCTCCTGGCATCGCTACTAGGAGCAAGGACGCTACGATCGGGGCCCCTGGCCTTACTACTAGGAACAAGAACGCTACGACGGTGACGCTCAGTTTGTCTCGGGTCCGACCTTCGAGGTTGTGAGGCCAGACTATCAAGGTGTGACAGCAACCCCACGACCTCACGCGTTGTCACCCTTTTGCCGAGTTGTTCAGAAATGTTTGGAACGAATGGCACCATCCAACTCTTCCCTGCAAGAGTTCGGAGCTCGCAACAGCTTTCCCGAGTTCTAAAAGTCGGTGCAAGCGGGTTGGTTCGTGCCAGGTGGAGGAAGCGGTCACACGATTGAACAGCCTTTTCACTGAGAAGACCAAGATGACGTTGCTTGATGCCTATTCCTGAGCAATCTTCAAACACAACGGGTGGAATCAGAGGTCAGGAGATGTTTGTTGAAAAGAGGAGTAGTGGGGAACCAAAGGGAAGGATAGCTGTAAAGAAAGGGATTTGGAGACTACCTGTGGGTCAGGCTTTAAAATTAGCTAGCTCTACACACAAAAACTCAAGATGCTCTTGCAATGCCCTTTGTTACTAGTAGTTTCTTGTTCCTGGTAGTAGCGTCCTTGCTCCTAGTAACGATGCCCTTTGTTACTAGTAGCCAACTGGCAGCAACTGGGCCACATGTTGCTCCTACCAAGGCCTTAGACGCTTTGGTGGAGCAGTTGCCCAGATCAGAGGACGGAAGGGATGGAAGGGATGGAAGGGACGGGTGCTTTTGTCTTGCCCGAGAGGATCGAATCTCGAGAGCTGTGTTTTTCCTCGCCTGCTCCGACTCCGAATTAGGATGCCTACTTAATTGAGCCCCCTAGTAGCGTCGTTGTTCCTCGTAGTAAGGCCAGGAGCCCCGATCGTAGCGTCCTTGCTCCTAGTAGCGATGCCCTTTGCTCCTAGTAGCGTCCTTGCTCCTGGTAGCGATGCCAGGAGCCCCTAGTAGCGTCCTTGTTACTACTAGTAAGGCACTTGTTACTACTAGTAAGGCACTTGTTCCTAGTAGCGTCCTTGCTCCTAGTAGCGATGCCAGGAGCCCCTAGTAGCTTCTTGTTACTACTAGTAAGGCACTTGTTCCTAGTAGCGTCCTTGCTCCTAGTAGCGATGCCAGGAGCCCCTAGTAGCTTCTTGTTACTACTAGTAAGGCACTTGTTACTACTAGTAAGGCACTTGTTCCTAGTAGCGTCCTTGCTCCGAAAGAACCTTGTTCGCTCCTAGCTGCTGGACGCTACATACTGGATGCAGGATAGCTCACGCTTCAAAGAAGTTCCCCCCCGAAAGGCGGCGGGGAGGAGCTTCCTTGAAGAAGCGTTCGTAGTAATGATTTGGTTCCTAGATTTGGGAAACCAAAGCACCCCAGGGAAAGGGCCTTTGCATTCATTCGCTTCATTTCGTGTTTAGGCCGAACATGTTTACAGAGTTTGCAGAGGAAAGACTTGGCTGTCGGTTTTTGGCTTTCCTTCGCTGCCAGGACTTGGAGATGCAGTTGCCCGAGGTGGAAGAGCCCGTGGCCACTTGAAGGGCAAGCAGTGGAGGTCTTGATAAGCGGCTCAAGGGTTGGATCAGAGTCGCTCGCGACTGAGGCTGCCTAAGAACAACCAAATGGGATGAAATATGGAGCTACTAGTAGCTTCTTGTTCCTATTAGTAAGGCCAGGAGCTACTAG